TTGGACCTTTGGCCAATGACAACTTATACAGAATTTTAATATTTGCTGATCACAGATCCATAACTTTGACTGCCTATCAAAGTTGTCATATGTCACATGTCACCGTATCATTTCCGCTTAGATCATTATCCCTCCAGATACTGACAGAGAATGTAGCGTAGAAGTAATTTTAAACTGTTTGTCCTCATTTTAGTGTAGTGTTTTGTACAATTTATGTTATTTTTAATGTTTCCACACTCTACGCTTGCCGGATAGTTCACATTTTGACGAAGTAAGTCTAAAACGTTAATCTCAAAAACCCTTTTTTTCATCCATTAACTTCGAGTTTTTTATCGAAGTTAACTAATTTACTTCATCTAAAAAACGTTTTCTTGGCTTATTTCAGATGCCCCTGAAGATGCTATTTTAAGCGAAAGTACTTGGGCTAGATTTAATTAACTTGTGCTCGATAATAGCCTTATTTTCAAAGTTCATTTATTCGAGCATTCAACCTCATTTCATTTAAAGAAAATTGTTAAGAATGCTGCCTCTGAAAGAAAAAATCACGGAGAGGATGTATACAACGTTTGTATAAATTTTGTGAGCTATTTACAAACTCGTGTGTAAAACAACAGATAGTTGTTGGATCTAGTTGTTCAGTAATATGGCAACCAAGATATTTAAAACTGGGCACTCTTTGAATTATATGACCATCAACATAAAATCGTGCATCTTGATGTGCTAAACGGCTAAACACCATGTGTTTTGTTTTTGAACAGTTTATGTTTAGGCCAAACTCACTTCCCACTGTATCAATGGCATTTAAAAGGCATTGTAATCCATTCATGTCATCACTTAAAATAACTGTATCGTCTGCATATCTGATTGTTTTTATCAGAATTCCATTAACTTTCACGCCCCATTCCAAATTATGCAGCGCTTCTTTAAATATTCTATCTGAATATAAATTAAATAACAGTGGGGATAGTATACAACCCTGTCTGACACCTCTTTGTATTTTACATATTTCTGTTGATTTTCCGTTTATGCAAGCTGTCGCTGTTTAACGCCAGTATAACTTTTCTATGAATCGTATGTCTTAACTATCAACTCCTTTACCTTTTAATATTGTAATTAATTTGTGATGCTGTACTCGATCAAAGGCCTTTTCATAGTCAATAAATATAGCAAAGACGTCTTTCCTTTGATTTTGACAGTCCATTTCTGAAGCCAAATTCTGTTTCATCCTGATCTTCTTCACATTTATCTCTGATTCTACTGTGGATGATGCGTAGAAATATTTTCAAAGTGTGGCTCATAAGGCTTATCATTCTATAATCGCTACAGTTTTTCGGACGTTGTTTTTTTGGTAGTGTTATGAATTCGGACTTTACCCAATCTTCAGGGATATCACCAGTCGAATAAACATCATTGAAAAGTTTGACCAGTATTCCAATGTTCTTCTCATTTATAAGCTTTAACATCTCTGTCGGTATGTTATCAGGGCCCACGGCTTTCTTGTTCTTTGCTAACTTTATAGCATGCAGTATTTCTGATTTTAGTGTATTTCTGGTCCTTCACCTTCAACTAAAGTCTTCGATTCTTCGGACACGTCGAGATTATCTTTACAGTCGTCTTGAAATTTACAAATGAATGAATATTTCAATATTCCAGAAACGAGAATCAGCAAAATTTAATAAAGCACACGATAAACAAAAAACTTTCGAGGAATAAACGCGATTTAATAAAAGACCTTCTAGAAACTACGTACATAAATATAATTTTTCCCATCCGACAGGAAGTCGAATTTACGAAAACTGACACAGGACCAGTTTGGTCGCTTCGGACTTCCATGGTAGGTTTGTTAGAAAAACCATTTATTAAATTTAGTAAACAATATATCATGTATTAAATAAGGCGTAGTATTAAAATAATAATCGTCTTTAAATATGAAATTAGTATTGCCTAAAATAAAAAACAAAACTTCAATGAAACAAGGGCCAAATTGGCCCCTCCGACTTTCTAGTGTTAAAAGATAAGCCATAATGCAATGAGATTAAACGGCGACGATTATAATGACGATGATGGCTATGGGTTCTAAAAACAATTTTTATAATTTCAAATTGATTATCAAATAGATTGATTATCTACATTCACAAAATTACAGATGATAAACTGTTACTCCTTAACAAAATTCAATGGCTGCAAAATTATTGGATATGATCCATACGAAACTTCCTAGTAACCCATGACAACGAACAATTAAGAACTACGATCCGAGCTTTTCTAGTCGTGTTGAGATTTTTTATTCATTAAAACATAATTCTTCTATATAATTACTAGCTAGACTTCTTCTTCTTTGTCAACCATTTTCCATCCACTCCTGAATGTAGGTCTCTCCCAATTGCTTCCATCTTTCTCTATCTTGCGCCAATCTAATCCACTGTTTGTCTGCCACTGATCTTATGTCATCTACCCATCTTTTTTGAGGTCTTCCCATGCTTCTTGTTGTCGTCCTTGGTCTCTATTCTAGAATTCTCCGTGTCCGTGACCTGCCCAGGCCATTTAATTTTTGTAATGTCTTCCACAATATCCCTAATCTTCGTTCTACGTCTTATCTCGGTGTTTTTTATCTCGGTGTAGCTAGACTACTACAACTATAAATCAGAACAACTAAGTAAGATATTTAATGAAGGAATGCTGTCTATATCGGTTCTGCTACCTAAATATGAAATATTCATTGCATTCCATTGTCGCAGTTATTGGACTTATGTATTATCCATTTACAGTATATTATATAATACAGGTAATACTTAATTAATTAAGTATTGACCATGAAAATAATAATTTATCTCGTCAGTACATATTTTTTAAACAACAAATAATTCAATTACTTTTATTTATGAGCGATAAAAATAGCTGAAGAGGTATTTACAAAATTTCTAGTTAGTCTGATTTCTATTTAATTAATATACTAAATGTCATAGAAATCACACCCATTATAAATATTGACATTTTAAAAAAAATTTTGCAATTATGCAGGGTATTAAAATAAACAAACGATCAAAATTTCAATACGATTAAAACAACTTACAGGGTAAATCAATTAATAATGTTGGGCAATACACTTTTGATTGTGCCTGGGCTCGCTTCTAATTAGGTGGCCAATACTGCCCAACTAAGGAAAAGTGCCGTAAGTCCAAAAATATTGAATATTGAGTTATATATGATTTCCTATATTTTCAACCATGCAGAATCAAATGGGCTACTCAAAATTGCCGTATCTCCAACATTGATCGAGATATAAAATAATTTTTTGCAGTAAGTGTGTCAAAAGTTTTAAAATAATAAGCAAGACTGCCGTAAATACAATTGACTAACCAAGAATGCAGTAACTCCTTTGTACATACTGCATTTAATCTTAGTACACTGTACTTACTGCAGTCTTTCTTAGTGGTTATTTAAACAGCTGATGTGCTTACTGCATTTTATTTATGTTGACCGTAAACTGTGAGGTTATGTTTGTAACATACGAGTTTTCTAAAAATTTGCTGTGTTCAGTTTAGGTTATAATAAGCCAATATTTGTGTTGTTGAAGTGGTTTAGAAAGTATATAAATTACATTTAGTTAATTGTTGTTTTGGAGCATGAGTGCTTCAAAGTTTAATACAGTCTCAACTCGTTCTGAACTTGTTGTAAACTTAGCTCTAAAAAGCACCAAGACTGACACAACAGTTGTACAAGATGAGAAATCAGAGCTAATTTTACCTACAAAATGTCCTTTCAGTGATTTATTAGAAGCTAATGAAGAACCTCAACCATCTAGCTGCACTATAACGTTGTCAGATGATGTTGGAGATGTGAGATTACCTGACAATATAACTCAACAGGTAACGGACAACCATAATATATTAGTTTATGACCTTAGTGAAAATACACTGATATCACGTCTACTGAAAGAATTTGATGTTAATAAATCTGTTTATTTAGAATAACATACTAACCTACAAGTTATAGATGTACCTGAAGTACTATTTGAAAATCTATTTTCAAATGTGGTCCAACCAAACAATGATAATATAAACTTGGAAGAAGTTTTAGGTGTTCCAGCTGCTAGTGTTGATTTTCTGATAACTGCAAATGAAAATAGTAAACAAACGAATGTATATTGTAATGACAATGCAGACCAACATATTGACAATATCGGCGTAGAAAATCAATTAACCCCTGTCACAAAGAAAAGAAAAAGGTTTGAAACCATCATGAAACTATCATGAAACCTTTGGACCTGCAGGGAGAAGAAGTAACGCAAAAGTTCACTCCATTTTGTGGCATGAAGGAATTTCAGGCCGCAATAAAGAAGATAACGTATGTGCATTGTACATGTTTTTAAAACAACGTAGAGATATTGAAAAAATGGTTCTTTGGTTAGACAACTGCTCTTCTCAAAACAAAAACTGGTGCCTTTACACATTTTTAATGTACATAATAAACTCTGATGACATTTCAGCTAATGAAATAGTTTTAAGCTATTTTCAACCTGGTCATTCATTCATGAGTGCAGACAGTTTTTACCATCAAGTAGAGCAATCATTAAAGGCTCAAAAGAAAGCTTATGATTTTGAATACTTTGTTAATGCATTGAAAAATCCAAATCTGGAAATGCCAATGTATAGAAAATGCAACATTTTGATTTCTATCACTGGCCCAATTTCGTGTCCCAACAAAAGCTAAAATCATCATCACGTTTGTATTTAAGTGACAAAGTTATTATTAAAGCTGAAAGAGGTAGTTATCATTTGTTGTGCAATACAAACTATGATGTAATGAGCCCCTACCAATAACTGAACTTTTTACAAAAACAATCAATGCACTGCACCATGTGGATTTTCAGAAGATAAGAAGAAAAATATCCTTCAGTCATTAAACGAAGTACTGCCAGAAAATCGAAAACAATTTTGGAAAGACTTGCCTACAGACATCTCAGCCAAAAGACTGAACCTATTGTGACATTCCTTTTACTTATGTAAAAGTATTAAGTAAGTACAATAGACTTTTGGTTGTGCCTGGGCTCGCTTCTAATTAGGTGGCCAATAGTGCCCAACTAAGTAAAAGTGCCGTAAGTACAAAAATATTAAATATTGAGTTATATATTATTTCCTATATTTTCAACCATGCAGAATTCAATGGGCTACTCAAAATTGCCGTATTGTCTCCGGAGGCGTGTCAGGCAGAACCTCACCGCCGTGCCGGACGCATTTAGAAATTCGGAGAAATATTTGGAAATTCCAAGTGTGGGCAAATCCGAATTTCTAATTGACTCGATGTAGGGAAATTCCCCTTTTACTACGTAAAACAAAGGATTTGTTTTATATAAAAGCAGACGGAATTTCTCTCATCGGTCAGTCGAGCTTGCCTCTTCTTCTGTAGACCTAGTCGGTGCTATTATTGTTCCGACTAAGCTATTGTTTTATTTCTTATTTTCTGATAACCATTTATATTTTATTATTGTATATTCAGACCTTTTCAGGTTAGAATATTACTTTGACTTATATTTGTTCATATACTGATTATTTGATATTTTATTTGATTATTTTGATTGTTTATTTTTCTTGTATTTTGTATCTAAGTTGTTCTTCCGTAAGTTAAGAACACTTAGAAATATTTACCTTACTTTTTTCTATTTTATAAATTTGATTTTGTACTTTGTGTCTAAGTAGTTCTTTTCGGTAAGTCAAAGAACTCTTAGAAATATTTCTCTGATATTTGACTTGTTAATTTTATTGTGTGCTTAAGTCATTCTTTTCCGGTAAGTCAAAAGAACACTTAGAAATATTTTCATAATCATTATTGCATTATTATTTCCGATATTTATCTAAGATATTTTCTTAATATATTTGTCTCTTTTATTTTACCATTTCATGCTGAGTTGTTTCTTCCGTAAGTCAAGAAACACTTAGCAATATTTCATCTCATATCTATAAGTTTCTCGTAGTAAAACCTTGATTTTCTTCTTATTTTCTATTTTTATAAGTTGTTTCTTCCGTAAGTCAAGAAACACTTACAAATATTTGTATTCTTATTTTACTATATTTGATTCTCTTGTTTGTTTTCTGTTCTAAGAAACACTTAGAAATATTTCCATACATTGTTTCATATTTACATATTTCATTTTTCTATATTTCTGTCCTAAGTTGTTTCTTCCGTAAGTCAAGAAACACTTAGGAACATTTCTCTTGCATTATAATTTTTATACCATTTGGTTTACTTGTTTTACCAAGTTATTCCTTCCGTAAGTCAAGGAATACTTAGATTATTTTTTACCTGTTCTGTTTTCTATTTTGATCTGCTATTTTGTAACTGTTCCTTGGAACTGTTACCTATAACAGATACTTGTCACGGTAACTGTTATTTTATACCAGTAGCAGTAATAACACGTTTTACCAGCGACAAGCAAAGATGGTCAACACCCGATCAAATTCCGGGGACAGGAAGAAGTCCGAAGAGCCGGCGATGGGTCCCACAGGCCCAAATGCCCCCTCTCGGCAACATGGCGCCCAACTAACAAAACCCGAACTCACGACCCCAGGACCGTCTTCGAGCCAGCCTGCTACAGCTGACTTTATCTCTGCCTTGATGCAAGCGATGACGGCCCTATCCACAACTCAAGGCACTGCACCCCAGATGCCTCAGCCTGAGACACCGAAGTCCAGGATAAATTACACGAAGCCCCCTCAATTCTCAGGCCGGGACACCGAGAATCCACTCAGCTTTTGGACAAAAGCTGAGAATTTCTTAATCAAACATGACGTAGACAAGGACCAATGGATCGACTACCTCATAGACAATTCCCTCCACGGCGATGCGAAGAAATGGGCTCAGAAATTTTCATACACGGACCTGCCATACACCACATTTCGAGACCGTCTCCTAAGGAGATACAATGACCCTGCCGCAATTTCAACCCTGACGTCGAAGCTTTATGGAGAACATCAACGTAGGGACGAATCCACGGAGGAGTTCATTAACCAGAAATCTGCCTTATTTAGACGTCTCATGCCACATACACCCGAGGACCAGAGATGTATAACGATAGCGAACTTACTGAGACCTGACATTGCGATCTGCCTGAGAGCGAACATCCCCAAGACCGAGGAAGACCTTCTGACAATCGCCCAGGGCATGGAATCTGACATCCGCCGGACCGGCAAACCCCAGCAGCAGCAACAACAGCCGTACCGTCCCCCACGTCAGGATAACGCTCCACGACACCCTGAGGCGATAGACGAATGGAGGAACCCCCGCGGACAGCACAGGATGCCCTCAATTAACCAACCACCACCTCCAACCCCACAGAACCAGGGAAACGCCAATCGGGGCGCCAACTGAACCCTGTTGTGAAGATGGTGCCCCAACTGAATCCTATTCAGGTACAACCCTCGACAGCAGGCCTCCCCCAACTCTATGGAAGGATCAACGGGCAACAAGTGAAGATTTTGGTCGACACCGGTGCCTCCGGGAACTTCGTTCACCAGAGGTTGATCCAGAGACGGGACCTGCAACGAGGACCAGGACTGGTTCAGCTGGCATGCACGGGCAGCACATCCCGCACCCTAGGGACTGCTGCAGTCAATATGAACATTGATACTCTGGACACGACTGTAAACTGCATGGTTATGGAGGATTTGAACCACGACGTTGTGTTAGGGATGCCTTGGTTGGAGCAGGAAGAGGCCAATGTAGACATACCCCGAAAATGTCTACACGCTGGTACTGCCTGCCGAACCACCATCTACTGGGCGACCCTAGCAGAAAGGCAAGCCAAACCACAACAGGTGGAATTCCATCAAACCCCATCCCAACAAGCAGAGCAGTCAACCCAAGAGGACAATGAAGTATTAGACAACCGTCCACGTCAGCCGACCACTGAAGAAACCGAAACAGCGGACATCAGTACAGGCACACCCGAAGAAGAAGAAGAAGTTCCACTACTAGAGACGATGGAGGACGTCGACGAGGAGGAAGAACCTAGCCTAACAGCAGATGACATGCCAGACGCCGAATGCCTTCTATTGATAGAGACAATGGAGCATGGCGACGAGGAGGAGGCCACCGACCCCATCCTCGACGGTCCGGTCGACATACCACTTCGAGAGGAAATCCGGAGAAGTCACCGGACACGCAAGAGAAAGAAACGACTTCTGAGGCACGAGCAGCAAACCTCCGAAGACGCACCCAGGAGCGAGATTGAAGAGAATCTCCTCCAAGAGTTCACGATGGTCGACGATGCTGACCATAGGACCCTGACCCCTCCGGACGGACGGGATGAAGGAACCACAGCGAAGCCGACCACCAAAGACGACCAAGGATAAGGTCCCATTACGACACGTGGAGATATCAAGGTGAATTGAGTAGCCTTATATCTTCACGACGTCGTAGGACCTCCTCAGGGTGAATAAAGTAGCCCTGACGGAAGCAGACGACCCACCTAGACCACCTGGACCATCTGGACCGCCTGGACCACTATAATTTTAAGTATGATATATCTTAAGTTTGAATTGTATTTGTATTGTATTTTTTTTTTCTTAGGTTAAGGATTTCTTATTGTATGTATTTTGATTTTGTTTTATCAATAAATTTTCTTTTAGCACCGTTAGGTCTTTCAGAGGAGGGGGGATGTCTCCGGAGGCGTGTCAGGCAGAACCTCACCGCCGTGCCGGACGCATTTAGAAATTCGGAGAAATACTTGGAAATTCCAAGTGTGGGCAAATCCGAATTTCTAATTGACTCGATGTAGGGAAATTCCACTTTTACTACGTAAAACAAAGGATTTGTTTTATATAAAAGCAGACGGAATTTCTCTCATCGGTCAGTCGAGCTTGCCTCTTCTTCTGTAGACCTAGTCGGTGCTATTATTGTTCCGACTAAGCTATTGTTTTATTTCTTATTTTCTGATAACCATTTATATTTTATTATTGTATATTCAGACCTTTTCAGGTTAGAATATTACTTTGACTTATATTTGTTCATATACTGATTATTTGATATTTTATTTGATTATTTTGATTGTTTATTTTTCTTGTATTTTGTATCTAAGTTGTTCTTCCGTAAGTTAAGAACACTTAGAAATATTTACCTTACTTTTTTCTATTTTATAAATTTGATTTTGTACTTTGTGTCTAAGTAGTTCTTTTCGGTAAGTCAAAGAACTCTTAGAAATATTTCTCTGATATTTGACTTGTTAATTTTATTGTGTGCTTAAGTCATTCTTTTCCGGTAAGTCAAAAGAACACTTAGAAATATTTTCATAATCATTATTGCATTATTATTTCC